GCTTACTGCAGCTAAAATGGAAAGGGTCAGAAACCCAAAGCCACAATGCAAAAACTAACGTGGTAATAGCCATGCTGCTTATTTCAACAGCAGCTCAGGCAGACTTTAGAATAGCCAGGAATGAGACCTCTGAACGCAATTCTGACTCAGGCAACATCCTTTAGCTTTGGCTTTTTAGCTTTTAGAAAATAGATCTCGTGAACAACAGTTCTGCATGTCTCTGATTAATTATATGCAAGACCCTCAGATTGCTGCAGCAGTAAATGCCCTGGAATTGTTAAATCAAGCACTGAATGATGACAATATTTTTTAACATGCTACAAAAGGTATGAAATTAGTTGTCTGCCTCAGGAAAATAACCCTGAAGAAATTAAGGTTACTGTTAGTCTCAGCTTGTTCTGAAATCCAAATTACTCAGCCTAAGGTGACCCAAGAGAGGATGAGGATGGAATGAAAAATAGTGGCCATTCTTATAGTGCAATGGAAGTTTGTTTCAGTTTTATACCATAGCCTTTAAAGTGTGTATTAACTCCAGCCCCTGGTTCTCCTGCTTTCTGAATGACAAAATAATAGACTCCTTAAAAATACCTAGCTGCTTCATATCTAGAAGATTAATATACCCATTCGAAACAGGGGTATACTTTCTTTTTCACCATTTATACATTCTGCACGGTGATTTATACGGCTCACAGTTATCCCTGCAGAGTTATCCCTCATGCTAGATAGAGGTCTCCAAAATACAGGAGCATGCAAAGCCTAAACCTCAAGAAACTCTACCCCAGAGTAAAAAAAGGTATCGAATTGTGGGGAGACCACAAACAAATATGAATACTGCTCCCATTCCCAAATCCCCTTCTAATAACAAAATAGCTTCTTTATGGTTTTGGGGAGATGCAACGCTGTGTCTACAGCTTGCAGCCTCTTATTCCCTGGATTGAGTGGAGCAGAACGGGGCGACAAAACACTCCTCATGGGGAGGGAAGACAGCTCTCACTGATCCTTTTCGGCAATAAGGAAAACATGCTGTGGGGCTCCAGACAGAAAGAGCTAGTCCTCCTCAACCAGATTTATGCAGACTGCATTAGCAGGAGAGAAGACTGAAAGCCAGGAAAAACAGTAATAGATGAAAGGAACAAAACTTGTGGCTCTGCAAGCCTGATGCAGCACGAATTCCTAGGGGGAAAGTATATATCATACCCAAGACGATATTTTTCACATCAATTGGAGATATAAAATCCAAGGTCATTTCAAGAATAACCTGTTACGTAAACACAATGAAGCTGCCACAGAGGTGATTTGCAGCTCTAGCCCCAACCTCAGTATATATGAGGTAGTTCCAGATAATGAAACAGCTGTAAGAGATGTCTTATTTAAACAGGAGCACTGGCAGTCACTTCAGGGAGGTCAACTCCCAAAAACACAGCCCCACTTTGCTCCTGGAAGTCCTCCCACTGAGTAATAAGGCATTAGGAAAGCTTCGTTAAAAAAAAAAAAAAAAAGTAACACAGCATCTTTGTGTTGAAAATACACAAAAAATCTACACTTTGCTGTCTTCATTGCCAATGAAGAATTGCTAGTGAAGAAGATAATGACAGGACATCAGCATGATCAGTCAACCAGACCCTGAATTTCCGGAGAATGGATGTGCCTACAGGTGATTTATACCTGCTGGCACTCTGGCCCAGAGACGCTTCACCCGCCTGCTGGAAGGGGGGCTATGCTCCTTTAGGACTGAAGAAAAAATCTGCATGCTATAAATAAAGCATAGAACAGAAATCACTGAGCTGATTTGCCTAGCCAGCCAAACTGCCAGTAATCAACAAGGAAACAAATAAATGGGTCAGTGGGTATTTCATACTTGACTGCTCTCCAGAAGAAGCTGTGGAGCTGAGACCAAAAATCTAAGATACAGCCACGATCTCCCAAAGAAAAGCACGTACCCCTTTTTAAAAATTCACATGGATCCCATTTTAGGTAACGAATCCCTGAAAAAGCACAGGGCCAGAAGAAGAAAGGCTTCAGTAAAACATTGTGTTCTACAAACACCTAAATAGAGAGAAATTGATGGGGAAGATCAAAACACCTGCCTCCCAATCATGCACTTGGGTGCAGATCCTTGATTCACTCCCACCTCAGGCTAAATCATCCCAAATTAGAGCATCAGCATTGTTTAGCATTAAACACCGCCTTAACGTCATTCTTCAGAGGCATATTTCATATGGCAACTATAGGCTCTTTCAGAAGCTGCCAGAGACACCTGCACATCTGCTGATGAGCTACTGGGTTGCTTCTGTTGTTTAAAGAAGTATTCCTCCCCCCTTTAGGAGGAATGAAGGTGATTCCCACCTCAAGCTTGCTGCTTTTCGAAGGAAAGCAAATACCAAGAGAGCTCGAGCTTCTGTGCTGCCTGTCAGCTGAAAGGGAGAGCAAAGAAGCTCTCTGACTACAGCACACCAAAAGTGAAGGGCAGCTGTACCACGAGAAAACTGAAGGGAAGAGGAAGCCCTAAAGCTTATCCCCGGTCCTGGGGAGCTATTTAAGAAGCAGGCACTTTGGCCCACCAGACAGTTCACATGCTCACTGCAGGACATGGAAAAACAAGCAGCCGTTCCACACCACTGCGATAACCACAAAAAACCCCAGCTCAGGAGAAGCTTACAAAGGGAGACAGACATGACTCAGGTTGGGAGCAGCACAAAGGAAGTCATGCCTACAGAGCAGCAGAGGTGGGAGGTCTGATATTGCTGTGACACATCCATCAGCCACGTCCTATATCTTCATTTCACATGGTGCACGCAGCATTAGTACCGGACAACATTAAAAGGCAAATGCTAGGCTCTTAAGACATAGTGGGCAAACTGTGTGCTATCTCACCCTCAGCAAGGAAAAGGACCCCTCGATGACCCTCAAAGTAACGATGCAGAGACTGACAGTGGAAGAGAAACTGCTCGTCGCGACCAGCTATTGAGACCCCGCATTACAAAATGTGACTCCTCTGCCTTAGAAATCTCAATGTTGCATAAATACAAAAGTCCCAGTTCCCGATTCTTTGCACCCAGGGCGGACACCCACCCACTTCAGAAAAAAGTTGGGGTAAGGGGACTCAGCACGTGGGGTTTCAGTGAAAAAGCACAGGCAAGGACAAAAGGATGGGGCCCACGAAGAGCTGGTGTTAAGTAGGAAATGGGGGCATCTTGTGGCCAGCTACAAAAATGTACAAGATGAGCTTGATTTTTCAGCACAAAAGCCTAACTGGGAAAAGTTCAATGAAAATTAAAAGGGGAAAATGCCCTTCTGAAAATGTTTCATTTTAACTTCCTTTGGGGGTTTATCCCACACCTTCCATGAGGTTGCTTTTATCAGTCAGAGGTATTTGCAAAAAGCTGTTTTTAAGCTTTCTTGTTCATACTATTCCACTTGCTATGGATACCAACCACATTCTCCAAAGTCAGGCCAGGGGTCCAGCTTTCTCTTTCCCCACGACACGTTCCCACCACCTGAACAATGACATTTTTGCTAGATCACTTTCAGTAAATATTTTAAGCAAAACCAGAGCAGCATCCAGAAACGTTGAGAGAGGCAGGCTGTACCTCCCTGACCCTTTGCAGGCAGAGATGAGTCAGCTTGGTCCTGAGCCCAAGCAAGCTGTCTTTCACAGTGGCTCATTTGCTCCAGCTCAGCATCATGCTAATGCACTCACACCGCTCCTGGGTTAGCTCCAGTTTGCACCCAGACTCATCCCAGAAGCCCCTACACCAAGTGACTGCAGCAATCAGGCAGGCATGTCCTGCGAGAAGGCTGACTTCTTCACCCCGGTGAAGTGCATTAACAGCCCCCCTCCTGCTCCAGCTTTTTATTCCAAATGCCCAGAACAAAACCGTTTCATAGTTATCAAAGCAACTGTTTTGACATTTCTGAAACCTTTACTTTGGGGAGAAAACAATGTATTTTGACATATTCAGACACCATTTACTTTTGACTGGAAGTCAAAATTTACCTCAGCTCAGAATAATTTTGATTATCTAAATACTACTTCTTTTTGGCCATTCCATTCATTTTTCATGTATTTTAAATTATTAAAAAAAACTAAAGCAAGCAGGTACATCCAGTATCCTCTTCTGTTTTTGAGTACAGGGGGCATTTAGAAGCTGGCAAATAAGACTTGACTAAGCAGGCAAGTAAGAGGAGACATGGTGCAGGAGCTTTTCTGCTACCCCTGTGCAATTCCCAATGCTGCTGTCTTACAGAGGTAATGACTAGCTACCACCAAGGAGGCGATCCTGCTCTTCTGCAGTCATTTCTCTTATCCCAGCACAGGTGCTTGTCCTCAACTGGTTCAGGAAGCTGAACTAGTGGCAAACAATTCACATTTGCTAGGGATAAACTTTCTACCAGTTCAGTTCTCTGAACAGGGCGGTGTGGTGGGCAGGAACGCCCCTTCCCACCACAGTGTGCTGTGGGACCAGTTAGATGTGCTTGGGTGTAGTGTCAATCCTTACCTTTAGGTGGTTTGAACTGTCCTTATGAATTATTTATGTGTCTCATCAAACCCACAGGACTCCTGTGCTCCTGGCTAATCCCAGAGAGGGGGAATGCTTATCCCCTCTTCCTTCCCTGCCATATGTATATCCTGTGGGCAAATCCAGAGGTAAAGGCACCTCCTGAGCAGCCCAGAAGGGAACAATTAGTTCTGCGACTTGCTGTAGGCACAGCTAGGTGATGTGATGTGCATTTGGTGATCACACACATTTCACAGCCTAACCATGTACACAGTCATCCTTCATTGCTACCGCAGATTTTATATATATACACACACACACGCACACACACACACTCCCCTTACAGCTTCCAGAGCTCCCATGTATTAACTGCCCAGCGCATTCAGACTGTAATTCCTTTCACTTCAACCATGGAAGTCACATGCAGGGATCAAAGGGATTACACCAGCGCATTGTAAGCGTGAATCCTCCTCCTGGTAATTTCTACATCGAACCCCATACCTTGGTTGCTCCCAGCAAATGCCAGTGCACTGTCACTCAAGTCAGCTGGGTTTTCCAAGCGACGTGGTGGTAGCTGCATTAGCTTCTGCCCTTCCTCTATCTCAGGATAGGTGCGCACAGTGAGACACAGCGAAGGCTGAACAAGGGCATCTTTCAGCAAAGCTGAGTCCAGATCCTCAGCAGCTTTCTTGTTAATCTCCACAATTTCATCGCCAGCTTTCAGGCCTGCAACACAGAAAGGAACAGGTCAGACTCGCACAGTAACTTTTCTGTTACCCACAGACATCAAGGAGCTCAGCCGGGTGTTTATGAAGTGCCAGACAGTGTTATGTCTAGACATAAAGTAAACATTTATGACTGCAAATGATATTGAAATTTGAGGGACTTTTGCGCGATCTGTTGTCAGGCTGGTACTCCAGTGCCATCCCTAAGAGCGTGGTGCCCAGGAAGTCCCTCACAACCTACCAGCAACAAGATACCCCCTTTTTCTTCACGTCACTCTGCAAGGGAACAGCCGCTGTACAGCAAGCCACTCTACACAACACATTGCTCGTAAATAAATATATACTGGAGGACAGAATCAGATTTCTGAGGTGCTGCACACAGGACGGGTAAAGGATAGAGTAGCTGAGCTGGCTTGACTCTTGCTTTTAACTTTCCATGTAAGCAAAGGCTTTTGTTTGAAGCAGTCACCTACCCACACACCTAGGAGGAGAGAAAACGTTTCCAACTCAGCTGGGGTATATGGTGTAGGACTTCAGATAGCCTCCTCTCTGGCCCTGTCCGAATCACATCCTCGCACATAGATCTTCAAAAGGCAAATTTTAGCACTTGGCAAATTAGTCATGTTGTGGTTTTTTTTTTTTTTTCCAATCTGATTTCAGGAGCTATTTATAGCACCAGCGCCCAAGGAAGAAGGGTCTCTGCAGAGGAAACAGCTGACTCCCGCTTGCTTTGGGGGCGACACGGCGATGCCGACAGACGACGTGCAGTCCCCTGAGGTGCTGCCAGGAACCTGACCTTCCCCTCAGCCAGCTGGGCCCGCTCTCCGACAGACAGCAGCAAGCTGGACCCGGGTTTAATCCCAAATAATCTTTAGGCAGGCAGCAGCACGCCAGGGCACATTGGTGCTGACAGCCCCCATTGTCCGGGGTTTTTTCTCCACTTGAGGGTGATGCTGGCAGTCCCTCGCAGGCATCCCCCCAGGAGCCAGCTGGCTGGGCATGGCCGGTGCGAAAGCATACTCTGCAATGGCCACCAGCGGGACCCGCTGTGGCATCCCAGGCACCATCCTGGCATTTACAGGAACAAAAGCTGGAAATTCCAGGGTCAAAAGAGCTGCTCCCTCTGTGGGGGTGACCGGCCCTCATGCCGTGCAGTCCTCTGGCTGGGTGATAGAGTCTGGCCACCCTTAAGCCCAGATGAAAGGCGTAACTCCATGGGCCTGAGCTGTGAGGAGAGCTCAGCTGCATCCTCCAGGAAACAGATTACCTACCCTCGTTCAAGACAGAAATGTGGAAGGGAGGAGGCTAAAGAGCTTCAGCCTTCTTTAGGAAAATTGAGATCTTTCTAAATGCATGTAATTGTGCCCAGAAACTGTAGTGTGGCGTGCAGTTTTGGAGAGAATAAAATGAACTAGATAGAATAGCTACAAAGTAAATGGACCATAAAATCATATTTGAAACAAGGACAAAACAAAGCAAGTCAAGCATTTCGCATTATTTCATTTATTCTACTTAGCGATGCCATGTCATAATACTAGCACATTAATATGCCTGCAACCATAAACATCATATCTGGGGCTCCATTTACTCTTTGTAATCCTTCTTTTGAATCATTTGGGATAATGTATCACGTCTATCTCAGTAAAATCAAGCACCTCAAATTCCAACAATAGTCTAGCTAGCGCAGACCAACAGAAAAAGAAAAAGATAAATCATAAAAATTATTAGGAGAAAATAAGATTTAAGTTTTCTAATTGGAGAAAAGATTGAAAATTAAATACTGTATCTCTTCTGGTAAGTTAGACTTACTAAAGGAAGTGCAGTCAAATGCAAACACGTATGTAAATAATGGGAGGAAGAGAGCATTTTCCTCCCTGCTTTCTGCTTAACTATGGGTGTCTTGTCATAAATATCCTGCCAAATACTGTTCATACAGAAGTGGCTTTTTATATCAATTACGAAGAGCAATGTATCAACGAAAGCATGTTTTAGCGTTTCAGCCCCACAGGAGGCAGTCTGTGTCCATGCATGCATTTAGATTGTTGCTCAAACATTTTCTAAAAGCAAAATAAGGAAGCCCTGCTGA